ATGCGATGGTCTCTAGCTACCAAGTCACTTTGGAGACGGTCGTTGCTTGCTTCGGCCTTGGCAAGATCTCCCTCCAGGGACTTGATCACCTGCACCTGGTCAGCATGCCTCGCGTCTTCCTGGAAGATCCGCTGCTTCAGGGTTGCAATCGTCTGTTGCTGTAGCTGGAGTTCGTCTTTCAGTCGTCTTTTTTCTTCAAGCTCCACAGTGAGCTTGTCGTCATAGGCTCGCTCAATGGAGCCAGTGTTCTGTCGGCATAACTTCAGCTGCCCCTCCAACTCCTGGATCCTTATCTCCGCAGCACACAGAGGCTGCACAAGGCTGGTGGCTGGAATTACTGCTGGAGTAGCCGCGTCATGTGGGTCACTGTCCGTGTACCCCTGGGCTGGCATGACACTTTGAGTCACTTCGACCTCCTCGTGCTGTGGGTGCTGTTCTGCGTCTTGAGCAGATACTGGTTCTTCACCGTCCCTCACGAAGTAGTGTGACTCCTGCATGTCCATTGCCCTCTCGCTGTGGCCGTAGTCGAGCACGGGTGCTGCTGTGCCTCCGTTGTCGACCTCCTCGTCGGCCTGAATCGCCGCCAGGTCCGCGGCGAGCTGGAGATTGGAGAGTCTCTTCTCGCTTTCCAGCCTACGGCTTCTCGCCTCCTCTTCAAGTGCAGCCACACGCTGCGCTGCCACCAGCTCCGCTTTCCGCTTCCTGGCTTCAGCAGCACTGCTCGAAGAGCGTCGAGAAACACTCGAGAATCGGCTAAGTGTCGAGGAGGAGATACTTTCGGTTTCCTCCGCGACGCTGCCTGCGACAACGTTACTGATATTGTCGCTCCTGCTGCAACAAGTCGGCTTCACTTTCCGGCCTTTGGTCTCACGTTGAGATCGCCTGACCTGTTCACTGTGCCGCTTGTCGACGTCCATTATCTTTCCGTCCGGCTGGTTCGAATCCGGCTCGAAGGACCAATGTTTTTACCTCTCGTCTTGATTCACCATTCCACAAACGTAACGTCGTTACTGTAGTATTAGAAGACTGTATTATTACTCTTTCATTCTCATGCCAAACATGACACAACAGCTAACTCATACTAAAACAAGAATGACCAAAAACTAGTGACCTGCACCACCGAAGCAGGAACCTAAAACTCTCCCACACACCAAGGAAAACAAGCCCCCTCTACGCCTACGGATCACGGACTACAATCCCGATCCTAGCCTAGCGGCAAATGATACATACTCAGTACAAGTCGATGACAAAAGCGGTGCCGGTGTTAGGTGACAGCTGCATACGAATGCATGAAAGGGGTCAGACAGTTCATGTATCATGTGTACCGGCAGTTGTAACTGGAGCCGACTGAAAGTCAATACATCAATAGCAGTGTTAGTCATACATGAAGCCCAAACTACAGAAAGTGTAGCAGTGGATACAAAGTAAGTTGCATACGACGGGTGTTGCTTGTCGCCAACGTCGCCTACGGGGGCAACAGTCTGTTTAGCACCACTCCATGAGCGACTCTGACTCACGCTGCTACCTTGGGGCTTCACGAGGTGTCTGTCGCGCTGGAAACAAAGACATAAGTGTCTCTGTAAGTAGTTTGTATCCCTGGTGATGGTTTGGCCTGGAGTCAGTGGAGAGCAGATAAGTGGTGCTTTTCAGGCACAATCTTCCTCAGCCTACTCAAGCTCAACTGATGAGGGGTGAATTCCCCGAAACACTGTGTATTGAGCAGGGAGTGGGGCTTTCTTGCAGGTTTGCCGAGTGGAAGGTGCAACGTGCTCCTTGTGTGCTCCGGATGGGATGGCAGTCGTGAGTCAGTCAAGTGTCAAGTTCGGCAAGAAGCGTGTGTTCCTAGTTGGAACAATCAACTAACTTACTTCATGACTATTATCGCCGAAGTCACAACTTCTAAGTAAATAAAATAAATAAATAAAATAATACATCGCCTATACAGTATACTGCTGCATGTATTGACTCAGTGTGATTTTGAGCGCATTTTTAGCATTATGTATATGTTATCGCATGGTTGCAAGGGCCTTATGGCATATTATTGCCCCGAGAGGTTAGCCCGAGGGCCGTAGGCCCGAGGGCTAACCTCGAGGGGCAATAATATGCCATAAGGCCCGCAGCAACCATGCGATAACAAATTTATCACATGGCCCACAGAGCAGACCATTGGGCTGCTGTTGAAATTAGCCCAAATGCCAACACATTATGACCACAATGTATATTGATGTGCTATCATTATCAAAACAGGAAAAATGAAGATATTTCTCCTACACCCTAACAAAAAGTCTTCTACAGGCCATCAGAGAGTATACAGTACTGAAAGACGGAGACAGAAAAAAATGCCGGCACCACATCGTCATAGCAATAGACATGGCAACGACAATAAAATACAGCAGAATCATAATTTCAATTGAAAATTAAGAGTGCTACCACAAAGAGTTTCTTCATGTTTACATGTGTATCAGGAAGTTGTCAAATACAGTACTGCAACAAGTGCAAGTATTTGACGACTCCCTGGTGGTGTGTAATAGATGACTTGCACAAAGATCCGAGCCGCGAGTGAGACGGGGCAAGTGCACCCAGGCTACACTGCGGGCACCCTACAGAGTACAGAACGAGTACACCGTCCGTAGTGTACTTTTTTTGTCAGCATGAATGAACGGTGCACGGCATGTACATGATGTACATGTACATGATCAGTACCGTCACTGTCTTCAGAAGCTCATGAGTCATGTGCACTTGTAGGGTTAGTGGAAGTACATAACTGTATATTATGTGAAGAGAAGCCAGGCGTCCAAACCAACCCAAAATACTCTTGCCATATTTTTCGGTGAAACAGTTATAAAAAAATTGTCTTACTAAACAACAGTGAGCATAGAAGCAACCTCGATGCACCCAATAATATGGCATCCGGGAACAGCAAGTGTTGCACGAGGATCCCACGAACACGTCAAGTTCCATGCAACCCGCCGCCATCAAAAGAACGAAGGATAACTGTGCTAGCCTAGTTCATATTCAATGTAACGCTATTGGTACGGGATATAGGAGCCTGTTGGGAAGGCGTGGGCGAGCTGTTAAAATCTTGTACGGTTCGTACAGCACAACATACATGCAGCAGTTATTGCGACGGTTAACGTCGATGGACGAGAGTCATAAAGCACAGTCCATGGGGGTTGACGTTTCTGGGCTTCCTTTCCGAAAGTAAATTTTTATTTCTTCTCAAATAAAGCAGAATCATGCTGATTATACCAGTCTGTTATGAAGACAAGAAAGCAGCCATGGACATTGTGCCACACTAAAGGAACGACAGGTAAAAGATAAAGCACTTCATTTGAAAACTCAAGGACTATCCATAAATACAGCAAATGATAATCCTAGCCTGGTAATGTCCAACTCCGTCATGTGAGCCATTCGATGGGAAGCATAATGTTCGAAATGCTGAAATTTGAACAGTTGCAGTTGTGTTCGTCGCCACACAATGCCCCCGCCAGTTCACATTCGAAATGTAGCCATTTTTACGCTTGTGTCCCTGTACACGGCATGGAAGGCTGAACAGATTCAACTCTTCCATCGCTTCCTGGTCTGTACAGTAGTGCGGTTGCGTTCCCGTTACTGACACTCACATCCGTCTCCGCTAACCAGCATCATGAGCACTCCAATGGTTCCCGCCGCTCCTTCTGTATCGTCCCAGCGCGCCCCGTCAAGATGTGAATTACTATAGGCAACGGAGCCAGTGTATGATGAAGGCGAATGCACTGTTTGATGATGCTCCAACAAACCCTTTCACCGTTGTATGGAATTTGTAAGAAGAGTAGTGGCTCAACTGTAGGTCCAACGCAGAAGGTACCGCACAGCGCAGTTATGTTACGTCCACAATAATGAACATACTCAGCAGACTGTGATGTGTATCAGACACACTCTGGCATTATTTGTTCCACATTCTCCCAGGAGGAGATGAAATGTAGTTCAATCATGTCTTCAGTACATGGGGTACCGTTGCCTCGTTGCAACTAAACAGGTATGCAAGTTACTTTCCCATGAGACCCAGCCGGAGCCGCATCGTCGCCATTACCAGCTAATCATGAAGAGGTATAATATGACTTTCCACCACTCCCTGATTCAATCATAGTTTGCGAGCCTGCACCAAACTGCTTTCTCACTGGAGCCAGGCATCGGATACATATGGCTTCAGTAAGGTTTACAATGCTATGTCTCTGGCCTAGATCCAAGTCTAGATACAGCTGCTCAGAGTAAGGGCTGATGAAATGTTCATATCGGAACAAGTGAGACTTCAACAGTAGCTAGTACACATCAGGCCTGAGGACTTCGCAGCGTTTCTCCAGCACACTTGTTCTCTCCTTCAACTCAGATACTACTTAAAGTACTACTAAAGGCCATCTGGCTCTCATACTCAATCCTTCCACCCTTCATTTTCGTGGTTTAGGCTTCCACTCGTCACTCGGCAGGTTCCTGGCCTCTCCGCAGTCTGTCCTCAGGAGAGGGTCGATCTGGAGCTAGTGCAGCCGATTGAAAGGGAATCGAGTTCTTTCTCAGACGTCCACAAACTTTCGTTGTGCTTCACTTCGCTTCCACTGCGGGAAAGTAGTCACACTTCAGGACCACGACGTGCTTGTTGTTGCAGCCTACACCAATGATACTAAAATAATATTCCCTCATTTTTCTGCCTCCCGCCCGGCCGGCTCGGAAAGGAACGTATGGAACGGGAGCCTCAGTTCCATCTCTCGTCTGCTAGTTCATTCAGGAGCGCAGCAGCGCTTCGGCATGACGATACAAGTCGAATCAAAACAACTCTACTCTCTAGCCAAAAAAACTAGCTCAGCGTTCGTCAGGCAAAAAGCGAAACTTCGAAAGTCACGAACTCAAAAGGTGGGGAAGTCAGAGCTAGAGTCAGAAGGTCCACTTGCCCCGTCTCGAACCCAGACAATCTTTGTGCAAGTCATCTATTCTGAGCACAATTTTTCTTCTTTTTTTCAGCTCCAGATAGCTGTATTTTTCATTGCAAAACATTCCTGAATTGTTGTGTTTGTTGTTCAAGCAAAGGTGAGATGAGCCTGGTAAGAGTTTTGCGTGGCACATGAAGACCACACACAGGCAGTGACTTTGCGAGGATTTGAAAACGCACGACGCTGAGTTGAATTTGTGTTATTTCAAATAATTGTTTGTGATCACAGTACCACTTCGAGCAGAACTGAATCTTATCCACAAGCTTACCGACGGTCAGGCTGCCAACATGACTGAACAAATGATCCCTGCAAGCACCACACGGCAGACGTCCGAGGCCATGTCCATTGCCGGGATGTCCATCTCCATCTTCGTCTCAATCGGCTACACTGCGACTCGTCGTACAGTCCGTGCGCCAAGGCCCTTGAGAGACCGATTTTCATTTTCTCGCGGGAATCGTAGCCTCCAAGGCGCCGCACCTGCGGGCTTGTTTTCTGTTGATTTCGCCTATCTCCGAATGGTGAATATTTCAATGAAATTTGCTGCTTAGAGCCCTTCTAGTCTTGTCAGGAGACCTTTCCTACACTGGAGAGATGGCTCGGAGTGATGTAGACACCTATGGCCGTACCCTGGAAAATTATTTTGGAGCTTGCAGTTCGTGAGCAGCCACCAAGGACGAATGTCTCACTTTTGTAATTGCTGAAACGAGGAATATGGTCACCAATTTCACACCAGGTAAGGCATTTACCTATCGCGGACACTAAAGCCGCTTTGTGGGGTGATAGACCAAAGCTTTATCTTTCGAATGCACGAGAAATTAGAGTGATACCTATGTGCCCCACAATTGCACCCGAAATAAACCACGCACAGGCAATATTGTGATTTTATGAGAAGAGACAATTGAGCATGCTCTAAATCGTCATGACCTGTTGTGTTACTTTTCAAACACCACTCCGAGTGAGCATCTACCAATCCTTTATCAATTTTACAGGGACATTTGAGCTTAGGGGATAGAGGTGGGATATTTCACCAGCTGAAGTACTAGATTTTTTTCTGAATTTGTTGACTACTAGGCCATAGGTTGCATAGTGTAAATATGTCAGTATTATGTACATTATTGTGGTGAAATTCTGAGCATCTAATTATTATAGGCACAACAGCACTGGTGCACGCCCTCTCCTAGATCCTGCTCTCTGACTTTTTTCTTGCATTGCACGGCTCAAATTCGTCGAATGAAATGAAGGAGTAAATTTGTTGCTGCCAATTAACTGCATCAGTTCTGTTTTCCTCTGCTGTTCTTCTTTCAGTGTGGTGACTTCTGATCCATGAGGCGATGGCATGAAGTCAATAGTTTGCAGTATGTGCAATATGGGGCAGTCTCTCTGTCAATGGACCTGTGACAGCTGAAGCCCAGACGTTGCAGTTTGATGTCTATGGCCAGCAGCAATCTAATGTTGTTGCACCTTTCCTTCCACACACAGCAATGCGGAATATGTCATGGACAGACATCGCTAAACTGCCTCTTTTGAAGAAGCATCGCAATTCTTGTCTGCCAATAAACAACAGACTAGCCAGCTATAATTACAATTTGGAGGTCGGAGACGCGATCCCGTGAACGTATTGCGCCAACTGCAATGAAGAAGGCCTTAGTGATCTGGATTTATTACCATTCTCGTGTGGATAACTGTGGCGTTGTGATCCAAGTCATGCAGACTATAAAATGCCTTAGACGTGAGATAGTGAAGGTACTGCCGACAGCAAGCCAACAGTGGATATGAACCACGCCGCCAGCATCATTCTGCACACCAGGAGAATCCAATACATATAGCTGCCAACTCTGATGGTATAGACCCGATAACTTGTTTTCTTACTCTAAGATTGGTATACAATTATACATGTACTAGTGCAATCTCTATCCATAATATGCGTAATGCACTGTTTTTGTTTCCGGTGACTGGAGGTAGTTTATCATAGCACTGTTTTATGTCCTGGTTTTGTTGAAGATAAGCAATATCCAGTTAACTTGCTGGGTACCGTATCAGTCAACTCTTTCAGCATTTGGCTTTGTGTCAGGGGTGGTTGGCGGTGTCGCGGGTCATTCCACAGTCCGCAAAGTTGATGTTCTCGGCAACGGAGCGACCCAGTAGGCAATTGATCACCAATAAATATACTGTCATTGGTATCACGGTGCACCACAATGGCATAATTATGGTGTGAATATCATTATGTTATTCTGCAGCGAGTCCTTGTCGTGTAGCTTGCGAAAGTTATTGCATTCGGTCATTACGTGCATAATGCATAGTACTGTGTGTACACTCAAGTTTCAAGTCCAGTCCATTTTTTGGAAATATGGGCTGGACACTAACGAGGGCCTGGTGACGTGTTCATAGGGCTGAGTTATGCCAAATGGTGCCATTTGCTGGGAGTGAAAGCCTTGCCCCACGCCTGCACCCTAAAAAATGTTTCGAAAATACTCAAATTCGACGACGGCTGAGAATCTAGGAAGATGCCGGACCACAGCGAAACAAGTCATCTGGCTGAAACACGGAATACACCATTGCGTTGCCACGGCTAAGGGCAATTTTTAGGCTCACCACACAGGTAGCGAAATGCCAAAACAAACGAGCCATAGACACAAAACCATTTTCCAAAATTGTCCACCATTGAGAATGCGACTCAAAAAGTACCCGCAAACTGCCCAGTGCGGAAAATGAAAAGTCAACTTTTAGACGACTTTTTTGAATCTGGCGCACGGACTGCGTAGAGTCGTACAGTCTACAGAGTCGACTCGTCGTACGATCGTAGTCACGCGATCACTGAAATAAACTATTTTTTTGCGGGCAAATAAACAATTTTTTTGCGGGCAATATCGCATATTATTGCCCGCGGCGCGAAAGGTGCTGATTCGCTGGAGTACGGGCAACAATCACGTGCCATGTGATAAAAGCTATAATACTCTAGTACGTTGACTTTCAAAGTCATAGTAATAATAATTATTATTACTTATAAAAAGTAAAAAGGACCAAGGAACTACAGTAGGTATCGGTTATAGCGTGGGTGTTTGAAAAACGACATTTGATTCTTATTGCCGATATTTCTTACACGCGATAAATCACGTGTGACATATCATAATGCACATTATCATATGCACGTGTGACATATCATATGCGCGCATTGCGCGCACGTTTGGCATGTGGACACGGAGTCTACACCGTCATGATACACACGGATCAGACTCGCAGTCGTGCTAGGCGACTGCGGAGCAGCAGATACGAGAGAAGTCGGACGAAAGAGTCCGACTGGACAGAAAAAGGGATTTTCCAATGCTCCCTTGGACATAACTCGCTTTTTGTGTTGACTATTATTGTATTGAGTATGCACAGAGCACAGATGTTATTACTACAGGCGATACACTTTGCACTAATCTGGCATATGTTGCTGCACAAAATCCATTCTTAGGGCCGATATATTCTACTATGCGATAATACTGCTTGTAAGAATAAATATACACATAAAATATGTGTTATGATTATGAAAAAATGAGTGTTCATTCTTGTAGGCAGTATATTCTTGTATACGACCACACTATAACCGATACGCACTGTACAAGTAAGTTACACTATAATGTCCACTAACACCACCAGTTACTAAACAATCAGCTCATGCGATAACATGCGATCCTTGGCTCTCCATCCGAGTTCATTATTATTACTAGTATTGTATGTATGTATGTATAACTCATAATCACAAGGTGATCGTAGAGGCATTAATCAGCGAGAGAATTGTGAATGATGTCTCTGAATCCAACTCTATCGTGTGCTGCATGAGAGAGAGCATGCAAGGGAAGACCCGTCCAACTTTTAATGTTAGAAATCCATGATGTCGCGGGCCTTCCTCTCGGTCAAGATCCAGGAGTTGATCCTTGCAGGAAGGGCTTGGAGAAAACGTCATGTCTCGTAACATGGCCAAACCACATCAACGTAAATTTCTTGACTTCGTTCGCTAGCCGCATCCTTGCTCCGATGATGTCATTGATTTCTTCCAGGATAGATTGGTTGGTACGCCGGTCGTGGTATGTTACTCCTAAGAGTCGGCGGAAGCATTTCATCTCGAAGGATGAAATTCTTCTCATTGATGAGGCAGATAATGTCCAAGATTGGCATCCGTATAAAACAGTCGCTAGCACAATAGACCTAACAAAACGAAATTTAGTAGGCAAAGAAAGTGATGGCGATTTCCAAATGAATTGAAGCTCAATGATCTTTTGCTTCCCTAGTGCTAAGCGTCTTCTTATCTCCACATCGGACTTGCCATCCGACGTGATTACGGCACCTAAGTATTTAAACTGGGATACCTCTTCTATTCGCTCATTGCCTACTTGAATGAACCCCAGATCACCACCGCCCTCCGACGCTGCCATTGACTTGGTCTTGGGAGCATTGATCTGCATGCCTAGTCTTGTTGCACTCGTATCCACGCGCTCGGTCAGGTCCATCAGCTCTTCCACAGACGATGCGATTAGATCTATATCATCCGCAAAACGTAGGTTGGTCACGCACATGCCGCCGATACATACTGACCCATCAAACTCCTCCAAAGCGTCAGACATGATGTACTCCAGGAATACGTTGAACAGACAAGGCGAGAGTAAACAGCCCTGCCTGACACCCACTGACGTGGTGAACCAGTCGGTGATAGTGCCATTAGTGGATCCAACAACGATGGCAGCTTCAGTAGTAGCGTAAAGCGCTTCAATCAGGTCCACAATTCTTGCTTCGATGCCATGCGCTCTCATAATCTTGAATAGCGCTTTGTACCAAACCCTATCAAAGGCCTTACGGAAATCGATGAAGCAATGATACACAGCCTGCTGATGGTCACGGTACTTTTCAATTAACATTCTGAGGTTGAAGATTTGCTCCACTGTGCTTCTTCCCTTCCGGAACCCTGCTTGCTCGTCCGCCAGCAAACCCTCCACTTGCGGCTGCAGGCGCTTCAGCAAGATCCTCAGTAGCACTTACAAGATCCTCAGTAGCACTCAGTAGCACTTATTACTAGTAAAATGGCAATAAATAAGATAAATTGTGCACTCATACCAACAGCAAAAATGAAGAAAGTCAAGTTCCATAACGTTTTCTTGTGACTGTCATCAGTGGAACGCCGTCACATAAAAATGTAATAACTAAAACACACACTTATATACATGTAGCTAATATCATCTCATTTATCAATTTGAATGCCGACAATGTGGTAGTCGGTATGTTGGCAGGACGCTTCAACACTTGTCCGAACGCATCAAGCAGCACGTCCCATTATCATTGTTGTCCCAGGCTGCCAGGTTAAGGTGGGACTATGCCTTCGCGGACCGGCATCGGCAAACGGAACGTAACTTCAGTCTCCCTCATTGGAATTGCACAAAATTTTCTGTGCTTTCTTCTAACATATCACACCGCACTCTGAGCACATGCCAATGAACCAAACTGGTCACTCTATGTACAAATTAGAAATTCTTCGAAAAATCACGCATACTGAGCTCTAACCGCAAAATGAAGAAAACCATGTAGAGAAGAGAGGAACAAGTTGCAAAACACAATTGCTACTATATAACTTGAGGTGCTAAACCAAAGAAAGGATTGATCTGTTGACAAGGAGAAACACAGTACCCAGAGCAAGAGATATACAAATTCGCGCACATTGACAACGCCTCCTTCAATGAGGTAAAAACATCATAAAACTTGCAGTAATGCATGGAACAATTGGTTTAGCACCTAGCCAAACATGTCACAGAGTTCAGAATATATACATTGTGGGGTGTGCCATGCACTGGCATCCTGCAATCGTGGTTAGAAGCTGCGGAACACCCCTAAAATAGGACAAAAAAGGCACTCCAAATCTCAGCATTTCACAGCATGATGATGTATTAGTGACCACCTGCCACATAGGGAGTGCCTTCTATCTCTTCTGCTGCATCCTGTCCACCCTTCCTCAACCTCCTGCGCTTTTTCCTGGACAGCTTGATGTGCCCCAACTGCTTTCTGGCTGCACCTGACCTTCTCTTGGCATCCAACAGCACACTGGTGGAGGCGGTGTATTTGCCTACGGGTAGACCCATCTTGCAGAATAGCATCTCAATGCTTGCAGCACCATCGTTGAACCAGCTTGCTGCAATGTAGACTGCAGTTTCTACAGTCAGAGCGGAGCAGAAGCTTGTCTTGGGGCAGAGCTGCCACACAATTCCGTTGAAGCATTCGTTCTGGTTCTGTGTGGCGCCACGCATACAGCGCTCGAGTAGTGGGCGTGCGGACAGGTCCATGAAGATCGGCTTGATTACAGAGAAGATTGCTTCAGGTGACGTTGTGGTGCTCGTAAGACGGTCCACCAGCTTGCTGTTGCTGCCACTTGCACCAGCTCTCCAGTCCCGGTGGGCAGTGCAGATGTTGGGGCTTCTCATCAGTTGACACTCGGTGCATCACGGAAGCCCATATGGCTTTGGCCATGGACTGTAGGTCGCCCTTGTTGCTGCGCACAGCCATACCATAGTAGGCTTGTAGTTTGTCTATAAGTTGGTCTGTGAGACGACCACGACCACTGATCCTGCCACCATCAGCCAACTTCTTCCCAGAGAGGTCCTTCTTCAGCTTCCGCAACCGATGTCCAACGCGTTTTTGAACATGGCCCACGCATTCTTCTTTTGTGATCTCCACGTCTTCGCCGTATGGATATGAGTCATGCACTGCCTTGAAACTCTTTGTATCTCCGTCCCCTATAAAGACACTGTGCCGAAGCTTCCTCGTTTCTCTGGATCTCCTCCATATCTTCAGGGCAGCTTCACATTCCATTGCGGGTGCTGAGCTCTGGGTGTTGGCACGGCATTCATGGTTGTCCAGCTTGTCCTGCAGTTCAGCATTTGTCAACTCTTTCTTTGCATGCTGGTTCTTGAAGTGGGCGCACTGGTGGCAGAATCGGGATAGAACTTCAACGTCAAGGACTTTGCCTGTGCCCAATGCCATGGCCACAAAAACACCATACAGCGATGCATAGCCTCTGCGCATCCAGGTTCCGTCATACGTAACGGCAGTGTCGGCAATAACGACATCTCCAGGTGCATTGTCCAAGACTTGTGTCGCTACCGCACTCATGCTATGCTCAGCAACAACCTTGGCCGATTTGTGTAGAGCCTTGGTATGTCCTTGGTATGCGGAGAAGGTCATGGGCACAGGCATATTCAAAG